CGCAAGGCCCGTCCCGTACCCGTACCCTCCGTGGCCTGAATGTTGTGCATTTTGGACGCAAGTTACTTTATATAAATATGGCGAAATGTTGAAGAAGTGATCCGGCAAGTCCTCCAGCAGAGAACACAGAATCGTTGGGTTCCTTTCTTCGCAGCGAAGTCAGCGTACGTTCTGTGCCTTGGTCTATTCCAGAACCCCCCAAACTGCATACAGAGTTTAGAAAAAAGCCTACTTTGTTCAATTTCTTTACGATTCGAGTTTGTGTTTGTCGTTACAAAGTACGCGATAATTTTGTGCACTTTTTAAGCACACTCTACTTCGCCCTGCCCCCTTATTTTTGTCGTTAATGCAGTCTTAGCCGTGTTGTGCTTAACTTTTCGTCTGCACGACTGCATTATTATGGCGTTCCTGTCCATACTATGTATTCTTTTCTACTTACTTGGTCGTGTTTTTTTGTGATACGATTAAATGTGATATTAAACATTCTTTGGCGAAACAATCCGGATGTTGCACTCATGGTTAGTTTTTTTCGTAACTTTATTTATGTTTCTGTTTGCAGGTTAGGATTGTTTTCAACTGTCAAAACGAGCCCCATTCAAAATAATCATGAAAACCTAATACAGTTGCATTTGGCTAACGTGTGCCATTCATTCATTTAATCGGCACACAAATTAAAAGAACAGGATCATGGCTTGTATCAGAACCATAGCTATTTTGTTGATGCTTGTATTCTTTGCTCAAGGTAAGTTCTTTAAAAATTTCATTCATTAGTCCTACAGAATCAAGTTGTGCTCTCTATTTTCCATCTTGTGTTAAAAAGATTTTAAGTTCATTACATGATAAAATAACAACCATCGTAATGAAATTATCTTAAACAATTTGTGACAAATATTAGCATAGACTTTTGTTTCTATTCCCAGTTTGTGTGTTTTTATTTTTATTTATTGTGTGTTGTAATAATTTTGCAGAGACGTTTCTAGTTAACAATAGTGTTTCCTTATCTCCTAATGAGGTTATTTTAGTGTGGTCATTGAATGTTATTATTTTTATTTCTTTTGTTTTGCAAGGCTTTCATACTGCCAATGAGCAGAGGCAGCATATTTGTGCTTTCTATTCTGAGAAGAGCTTAGTCAACAGCAATGGCTTATCAAGTGATGATGCTGCAGAAGATTATGGCAGTAGAGAAATTGAGGTGAAGTGAATTATTTGTGATGTAAGACTTTCTTTAAGATTACTCTCAAGTATTGTTTCTGATTTTAATTTTCCGTTTTACAGGGGACAGCTGATCCACAACATGTAATGTGTCAAAGTTCATGTTATACGGTTTTCAATACTGATCCAGTTACCAATGGAACAAAAATAATTAAGCAAGGTTTGTTCAATATTTTGTCTTGGAACTCATTTAAGTATGACTCAATAACTTTTTGTTGTTTTCATGTCTTTCCTTAAAAACATTTAGGGTGCTGGGACCCTTCAGACAAACATGACTGTGCTGGTGCTGCGTGTGTATCAGAGAGAAACCACCATCATAAGAAATCAAATACTCGGTTTTGTTGTTGCCTTGGAGACCTGTGCAACACGAACATAACTGATTCTTTTTTGGATGACGATTCTGAGGAATCTGAAAATCTTCAAGATACACCTTTGAAAGCTGCTCATGAGTCTGGAAGAGCGAATTTGGTTCTGTGGATGAGTGTTCTGGTTACCTTTAGTGTGGGATCTTTAGTCCTCGTTGCCCTGTACTGCTTTTGGCATGGCGGGATGCATCGTCCTCAAAAACCTGAGCAAGACTCTTTAAAGCTCATGGAGAATGGACATGGACCTGGACAAGGATATGGGCAAATCATGGGCTCATACACTGGAGATAAGATAAAGTTCTTAAATGTTATAGGTATGTGTAATAAACATATAACAATTTTTTTAACGTTGAAAAATTTAAAATTTTCTAATTGTTGTTCTTTCTAGGCCAAGGTCGATATGGTTGTGTTTGGCGGGCAACGGTTGGTGAACATGAGGTGGCTGTAAAGGTGTTTCCTCCACATTATCGATCTTACTTTCTAAATGAAAAAGATATTTACTGCTTACCATTCATGTCCGAATGTCGATCTCTCCTTACCTATTATGGTAATTGTTACTATTTTTCCTACTTTTTTCAAATTGATTTGTGTTGAGTCTAACCAGCTACTTTAAATTTTTCCTTCACAACTATTCAGGTTGTGATGAAAGACCAAGTATGGATGGGAGCCCTGAGTATCTACTTGTTCTCTCACATTCTTCTAATGGCTGCCTGCAAGATTACTTGCGTTCCAACACAGTTGACTGGCCAACATTTTGCCGTATGGCTTTATCGATTGCTAAAGGGCTGGCACATCTTCACACTGACATGCGGAAAGGAGGTACTTTCCATTTTTTTCTTTTGATAGTATTGAATGTGGATTTTGTCTAATTAAGCTGAAGCTGAAGGCAAAGCCTCGTGTGCCTGTGCGCTTACAAAAGCATCTTTTTGTAAATATTTTTTTCTTGCAGACAAAGAGAAGCCATGTGTTAGCCATAGAGATTTGAACACCAGAAATATATTAGTGAACTCTGATCTTTCTTGCTCTCTATGTGATCTTGGATTTGCTATGAAGATTGTGGGTTCCAAGTATTATCAAAATGGGGAAGAACAACATGCAGAGACGAAATCTATTAATGATGTATGCCTATCCTTTCTTGTTTTATTTTTACCTGATAAAACTCTTTGCCAGTGTAACTGTATCAATATAATGCCTCTCTCCCATTCTACTTTTAATTTAGGTGGGAACTTTAAGGTATATGGCACCAGAGGTATTGGAGGGTGCTGTTAATTTAAGAGACTGTGAATCATCGCTCAAGCAGATTGATGTGTACGCCCTGGCTTTGGTTGTTTGGGAGCTAGCTTGCCGATGTTCTGATTTGTACCAAATGGGATCTGAAGCACCACCATACATGATGCCATTTGAATCTGAAATAGGTAGTTACATTTTGGTTTTGCCAGAGTCACAGATATTTCTTTCTTACTTAAATTTAATTTCAAAATAACATGTATATCTACTTGCCAATAAGAATCATTGAAGTAATGTTTAACTCTTTTCTCTAACAGGACATCATCCAACATTTGAGCAAATGCAGGTCTTAGTCGTGCGTCACAAAGCCAGGCCTCTATTTCCTGAAACATGGAAAGATTGGACCGCTGTAAGATTGATACGAGAGACAATGGAAGATTGTTGGGATCAGGATGCTGAGGCAAGATTGACAGCTCTATGTGTTGAAGAACGATTTCTCGAATTGCCAGCTCTATGGGATCGTCAACGATGTATGTTTATTTGTATTTATTCTGTTTGGTTATTCTACTGATCTCTAAATCTGCATGGAGAAATCAATCTGTAATTACTGTCTTCCAGCATGCTTGTTCACATCTGGTCTTAGTCCTACTCTGAACCCAACTCAAGGGATGCCTATCAACCGAGGTATAAACAATTCCATTACTAATAACACAAACAGCTCTGGCGATATGCTTAGATTTATTGTGGATACTACTGATGATACAGGTTAGCGCTCGGGCCTTCACTGGGGCCTTCGACTGCCTTTTGGGTCCCTTACTGTTATTTCTGGAGCAATATTCAAACTTCATATTTTTCAGGTGGCTCAAACCGGTCGACTTCTAAAGATACTCAAGAATCTACAGTATCAGAAGGAACTGTGGAAACATTATTAACACTCTCTCCCTCAGAACCTCCAGAGTACATGCTAAGTAAGTTTTTTTCAGCAGTTGCCTGTCAGTAATTAGCCAAAGAATTTGAATTAACATTAAGTTGTATTTTCCGGGTCCCAACTTTGTAGACAAAAATTGGCCCAAAGGACCTCTTCAGCCCTACCAAGGAAGAAATCCATGTATGGAACGTAATTTAATGCCCACAGCAGCATCAGAGGAGGAGTTGAGCCAACAAGAGAGTGTTCTGGTGGATCGTTCCTCGAAGCACACTCCTCAAGGACACTTTCGGTCTGGGAGCAGTTGCACTGATACTCAAGCACTAGTTCCCAATGATTTTCTCAATCATAACCAGCAGCAGCAGCAGCCACAGCATTCTCAGTTGAATACAAGCTCTAACTTGCGCCCTATCACACCTATTCCATATGTTCAGAATGTTGTTTACAACTCACGGCCAGTGAATGTTGATGAGACTTCCTCAAAAAACACAATTTTCTCATCGTGGACTGGTGGTATCCGCAAATGGTTTGAATCCAAGAAAAAAGGGCCCCATGGCTTGAAGGATGAATCTTGGAAGGGGAATAGCCAGGAAGGACCTGATGGGAGACTAAATCTTCTTCCTGGGAGAGAGACTCAAGTCCTGCTCAATAGACCTACTGGAGTAATAACCACATTCCTGGATGAAGATGGAAACAAGAATGAGCCTGAGACAAGCCAATCACCAGTCAATCCTGTTGCGGGCAGCCCAGCTCTGAGGCCAACTACTCTTTCTTTGTCACGTACTAAGGGACACTCTAGTGGGAGCATAAGCAAGAAAAGGCTTAGTGTTGAATGTCAAGATTTGTTTGCAAGCTCTTCAATGGATTGGAAGCTTAAAGATCCTACTTTGAGAGTTAAAACACCAGGGGATGTACCTGCTTCAGTGAGGAGAAACAGAGGCAGAGGTTTTGCCACAAGATTTTCACTGTATGATGATCGCATAATGGGTGGTGATCCGGCCCTTTCTAATTCCTCTCAGCGTTTAGATTTTAGTGAATTGGAAAAAGATGGTGTTTTAGAAGTATGCATACCTTCAATGTTTTCATCAGTACCATATCAAATTAACACAGTGTCAGAGGTAAAGGATTCATTATTCTGAGCCCTTCTAATAACTCTTTGTTACTTCGGAATCAGCAGTCCCTGTTCCCTGCCTTGATAATCATTTAGTTCAATAGATATCCTTAGTTTAGTAGCACCCTCTTATTTCATAAAGGATTGACGACTGTAAACTAGGAAGGTAAGTGCAATACAGTACCAGTTTCCTGTGCACACTTAGACTTGTAAATGTGTACAACTACGTAGTTATTTTTAGTGTAAGTGGAGTACATTAAGTGCAATACAAATTTGATACATCACTGTAAAACAATTTTTGTAT